TTCCGTTAGAGTTTCTACTTCCGAATGGTGTTATATACTACTTATATTGATAGACGTAAGTAGTATACATCGCACTATGGGTAATTTAGTCATTAAATAATTCAGGTACATAAACGTTTCTACATTTTCTAGAGCTTATTCATCAAATATGATTGGATCAGGATTCTCTGTGTTGCATTTGAGGATGTTCTGGTACAGAGGCTGCTACTACACAAGTTGTATTCATTTGTATTGATTTGTGTGTAGTGTCGGGTTATCTGCGAAGTTCAAATTTTCTAAATAATTCCGTACTGTTCATTGTATTCCGTTCTTTCTCTCAGATATCGAGTTATTCATAATCTAATCAACAGGCAGTCTTATCTGAATCTGTTTCTTACTTAGAATGCATCTGTGAGGTACCGTTCATGCACCACTATGAACTGTAGTCCATCGTATGAATTCCAAAATATGTTGACAATCTTCCTAAGTACATCGGTTATCACGAATCCTACGGAAGTGATTGTTTAAAACTGATCAATAATAATTTTTTTATGTGAATTTGAAGATGATCACATCTATACTACTTAGATTGTTATTTATCCTCATTCATCGTTATTTTCATTGACTTGTTCATCTATCAATAATTCAGGATGTATATCTGTTCACTATGTTCAGTCAAGATCCTAATTGATGTTTTAATGAATACTTTAAGAGTTTATTTCTAGAATACATCGAAATGTCTAAATAGAATAGTAGGTGAGACTATATTCTATGGACGATTTTTGAGCGATGCTAAAGTAAATAGCTTTCAGAATGTTCACCTATTCACTAGGACTAAATCAATGTTTTAAACCTGCATGAAAGATAATGATTGTGATTTACAGCTGATAACTAAGGATAGGGATTACATTTATGGTTTTCATTACGAATTGATATTGTATTGAACAAGAACACCAATGTGGACAATTGGATGTACTTGACAACAAATTACAGTACTTGTTAATAAATTGTAACATTCATATGGTAATTGCTCAATTTTCAAACTGTCCATCAATTGTCTCAAAATGATTCAGACTACCTTTATTCTTACATTTTCATATAAATTGCAGTCTGTCTTCATTCTTTCCTGTTTGATCTTCTTCTCTCTCTACTACCAGACATTCTGTACACGATTAACATCATATACTACTTATCCTTACATATAAGTAGCAAACACCACAATATCAGCTAAAATGTCAAGATACAATATAATTGAATAGATAAAGAATTTCGCGCTAAAATCTAAAGATGATTTCATTGATTAAGATCATGAGTCAGTTGAAGCTAGACCATCATGGAAAACCTGGAAACACTGGACTGTCGTTTCGTCCTTTTATGGGACTCCTCAGCAGTGCGCATCCACGACCTCGCCCCCTGCGAGATTCGAACCCAGGACCTACTGGCTTCGCACGCGAGCACTTAACCACTAGACCACTGAGCCGGCCGGCATCCAACGGTGTTAATGTCTAACTTCAACTAATCCACGAAATTGAGCGACACATCCACCATTGTCTTCAGTGAGTTACTATCCCACAACAGACCTGGTTGAACTCCACTGGTCACTACTTCTCACTAGAACTCCAGGATATACCTCTTGAAGCCAGTCACTAATGAGCATATGTTGATTATTATCAGAAGGGGTTTTGTGGAGATTGTAGTAATTTCATTGATTAAGATCATGAGTCAGTTGAAGCTAGACCACCATGGAAAACCTGGAAGCATGATGTTAATCAATGAAATTACTACAATCTCCACAAAACCCCTTCTAATACTAAAGATGATTATTATGAATCTGATTGGTTTGTTGATAAATGATTAGAATTGAACCGCTTTGTATGAATCTGTTATGAACAGATTATATTTTGGGAAATAAAACCTTTTCATTAATTTAATCACTTGATCATTAGTGACTTGTACAGATAGCTTAATGTTATTTTACACTTGTAAATGTATTTAATAGATATATGAATTTTAATCATCAGTTAAATACAGGATAATTGTCTTTATATATATATATATGAATGACTAGTCAAAGAAGTGTAACTGTATACCATTGTTCATGTTCACATTCAGATTGAAACCGAATGTTTATTTATTTAAATGGTAAATTATGATTTATCATAATAAATCTAGCTGTAAAGTCCTAAGATTCATTGTTTAGATTCAATATAAGAACTATTACATATATAAATTGATTAATTATGTATGTTGAATTCATAAGATGATCTAATCTAGATCATCATTGAAAATCTGAAAGTACTGAAAAGTACTAGGAATTCTCGCTTCTAAATGCTTTAGTACGGTGGAGAGTAGGAAGAGTCAACTATTTCTTTTTCGAAATATTTTCACATGTTTATATGTATATAAGTAGTGTCAAGGAAGGTATATTTACTGCTTTCTCACGGTGACAGTAATGTTTACAAAATTGTGAGGATAAAAAGTGAATATCCGGAGCTTTATCCAAGTTGCTGTATATATGGTGAGTCCACTTAAGTGTGTTGTATGACCTTGATTCCGAACTAATGATACAAATGGACTCCAGAAACTTTAGTGTATAAAATGGCATATGAACTTGTTATCGGTTAACGTCAAAGTTTATTTTTGAAAACTAAAATAAAAACAAAATAGAACAATGAATCCATATGAATAGGATAATCAATGGCGGGGGTGAGGCGGAGTGATGTAGGGTAGGGTGGTGGTTTAGTTGATAAGAGAAAAATAGAAAAAAAATATTGAAGATCAAATAAACCAATAGTTTAACCGAAAATATTTTTGTCTTCAATTTAATTGAATTTTGGCAAAATAATCAATCGATTTTGTTATATTCAAGTATAATGAATAAAATGAACATGTATCCTCAATGTTGATATTCATAGTGATAAGTCTTGGAAATGGAACGCTATATTCAGTTCCTAAGCTATTCATATAACTACCCCCCAACGAACAAGTGTGAACTACACAACAACTTGAATACGACAGAAAAGTCACAAAATATATGCGAGAAGCACTTTACTCCAAACGTTCGTTTTACTACAGAAATTATAGGGTTTTTATAGTATTTTTAGTTGTTATCACAATTGATTGATCACTGACTGGTAATCAATATCATGCGTGTCTAGTTCTTTTTTATTAGTGCAAATTATCGAATGCTATCGACCATCTTGCAATGTGGTCACCAGTCTAAGTGACTCGACACAACGAGCACTATTGTGAGATTAGATGGTGGTTGGAGGTAGTCGACATGATTTGCTTAGATTTCCTGAACATTCTAGAATTCTACTAAACATAATAGCAGTGTAGATAAATCGCTAATCAGAAACTCTACATGTAACTTTTCACTTTCTTGATATTTCTGGCTAAAATTTTAATGAACTCTGATTGGATAAAATGCTTCATATTGTTTTCCTGAATCTTTCTTGTATTGTGTGAGAAGTTTTCTGGATCATCGCAACACAAAATGAATCTGATCTAAACTGTGATCAATTCTTAGCCATATTATCCAATGTCTAAAACCACTGATCTGTCTTTTTATCAAAATAGATTGATCTCATTGATCCATCTTAGAATAATATTTAGCAAACTATACAGAATCTCATTTTCTATCTTCTTAACAAATTCTCTTTGAATAAACACATTGATTAAGTATAATAAAAACATAAAATTCTTGGCATAAAACTATGTTACCAATGGGACAGTTCACCGGTAAACTCGAAAAAGCTGTAAGAAGTTCAGAAAAAGCGAAAAAGATTCCATCCAATCATATTTTCGAAGAATATTCTAGAATCCCTACGTGTAGCATCGCAATTGGAGAATGATAATAACTTTACTGTTTGCGGAATGGAGTACTGTAATGATGATTTCGTTCTTACTAAGAATTATAAATACCTGACAATTTTATACTGTCTGGAATGATATTCCTTTCATTAGTCTTCTTCGTTTTCATTGCGACTAGGAAGGGTTCTAACATTCTAATGCTCGAGTTATACGCGGTATATCAAGAATATAAGCATCTAGATGTAACAGTTACATTTAGTTTTACACACAGTTAATTAATGGATAAACTAATTTAGAGAGTTCACCAATTACTCGAATGGTTTGGTGTCTGACGAAATCTTAGCACGGATTTGAAAAGCTCGTTTGGCTTTCGCCAACTCACGTCACCTATGGCAAAGGCAAGATATCCGTCTATCAATAAAACGACGAGTATACTGCACGGTAGTTCGTTCCGTTCTAATATACGGCTACAAGTATTTGAACACAGATGCCTTATAAATATTGCTCCCATCAGCTGGGATCACTAGGTAAGTAATAGTGAGGTTAGAAGCAGGGTATTTGGGAATGATGGTAAATCAGTTAATAAGGTTGTGGATCTTCATCGACTGAGATGGTTGGGCTACGTGTTAGATATGCCTGAACACCGATTACCACGACGTACAATGCTAATCGGTGTTAAGGATAATTTGAAGAAGGTTAGGGGCGGCCAAACCAAAACATGGCATCAGTGCTTGAAGTCAGTAACTTGTAGTCTGAACCATGTTAGTAGATGCAAACTACTTGGTCGGGGTCCGCATGACTATCGTAACTAATGTTTGGAGTCTCTTGGTGACATAGCTCAGAATCGATCACAATGGCCTAGTTTTATACACGTTTTGTCCTCCCTTAAAATGAGAGATTAAAATCACTTTATATCTTTCTTTCTACGAACTAATTCTTTCTTCCTGTACTATATCCTTATATGCAATCTTTCTTTTGTGTATTATCATCATTGAATTAACTACTTCTATCCATCTGGTGTTCATCTCGCTGTGCTAATGCGGTATAGCAACCTTGACCGATTCAGATATGTGCCTGGTCCTACGTTTTAGCTGACTGACTGATCTATACAAGTATACTGATAAAGATTATTTAATATACTTCACCATGGTAACTTAATCCTGATTGTTTTCTTTTCTTTTCTTTTCTTTAAACTTATTGTTTTATAGGTTTGTCATTCTATATTACCTTATATATTAATAATCAGTTCAATTATATTACTTAGTTTTATAGCTATACATAAATCACGTATAGTTCATGTAAATCCTTGTTCGAATCCTGACAACATTCATAATAATCAAAAAATAGAACAAACAATCATCCAATCAAAATCATCTATTCATCATCATCACCATCACCATCAGCATCAGCATTACCCGAATACTCAACACAGTCTATTTACTGAACCAACACAATTGACAATATGTTTAAGTCTTATCAATATTCTATTTGATTTAGCTGATATTATTGAATGGTTCTATGGTAATTTGATTATACCTAATTATATTGAATCATTTAAACAAAATTTCAATGGAAATATTATCAATATTAATCATAATAATCATAATGATTCAAATCAATTAACACTACTTACAAATACATTAAATAGTAGTATGTTATTAACAACATCTATGAATCAATTATGTTCTATTCAATTTATATCAGGTTTATTAAGAATATGGTCTAGTCAAAGATTTTTATTTATATTACCAATCTTATTATATCAATCATTAAAATTTCGACATTTAATTATATACTACTTAAATTATTATTTTCATACATTGAAAATATTACATTGGTGTAAATTTACATTGAATTCATCTATCTATATAAAAGAAACATGGAATAAATCAATCCATGATAATCTTATTCAAATGGAATTATATAATATTAAAACTACTACTAATAAAGATATCAGTAGTCAACATGAACATCAAGAACAACAACAACAACAACAACAACAACAACGACAACGACGACAACAACAACAACAGCAGACTATTATAAAAGTTGAAGATGAAAATGATTATCAAAGAATTCCTAGTTTTTATTGTTGTTCATGTATTAATCAAACAATTTTATCAATGGACAAATGATAAATGTGATATTGACAATTTAGATCAATTCTCAAAAGTTCATTTCTCATATGATTATCAAGTTTACATTTAATTCTTAATCAATTCCTTTTCAATTAGATGTTGAAAATTGAATAGAGATATCTGATATATATACTACATCATCATGCATTATGTTGTGTACTACTGATGTTGATCAATATAAGTAGTATGTATGAGTAATTAAAAATTGGTTGATCTTTTGCAATATGAAGTATTTATGATATGATTATTAGATTCTGCAATTCTATGTTTCAATACATTTGCTTGTACCAACTGATGTTCTTGTTGTATTAGGAAATGATGGTGAATAAGGTGATGCGGTTGTAAATCTTCATTAACTGAGATGATTGGGCTATATGTTACGTATACGTGGATATCGATTCCAACGACACTGCAATGCTGATTAGTGTTGGAGACGGTTAGATGTACGTTACGAATGTTAAAAACCAAAATATGATATCAGTACTTAAGGTCACTAACTTCTGGTCTGAGTAATTTTGGTAGATGCACACTACTTGGTTGGAGTCCACGTGACTATCATAACCAATGGTTGTAGACTTTGAGTGACATGGCTCAAAATCAATCACAATAGCGTCAGTGTATGCACTCTCTGTCTCCTTTAAACTATGAGAATAAAATCGCTCCATATCTTTCTTTCTACGAACTTATTCTTTATCCCTTTACTATATCTTCATCTTGTTGTGCTACTGAGGTATAACAATTAAGATCGATGCATATATGTGCCTGGTCCTACGTTGTAACTGACTGATTGACTGACTACATTTCATACAAACAAAATAGTTATTCAAACATATTATTTCTATATACACAGTTCCATTTATCATGTTAACCACTAGAGAAACGATAGATTCTGACAAATTAGCATAAGTTCAATGGATTTCATTAGGTATCAATCAATTTTTCCTTACAGTTTATAATCATTTAAGAGTATATACATATCATCGTCATCATCATCCTCATCATCATGATAAAGAGAAAATTCCAATAAAACTGATGACATTGAAGAAGAAGGTTCTCAGTTAAGATATTAATTGAATGTTCTATTAATGTATATTCTTTTGGAATACACTTTATGGTAACATGAAAGGAGTATCTATCGATGTTTGGTTGTCTTGTTTTGTTGTTGTTGTTGTTGTTGTTGCTGTTGTTGAAGTTAACCAGAAGAATGATCAAAAGGATTGAAGATGAGTTATATGTGTCCAGTGAAAGTAAAATGTGACAGATAGATACTCAGATTATCAACTTATACACTGGTATCTCATTATAAGTTGTGAACTGTATCAATGATATGAAGTGATCCCACTCTATGTTTTATATATATAGAGTATACTGGTAGAGTGTCTAGTGTGAGGTTATAGAATCGTGGTCAATACTTGCATAGAATTATTTGAAGGAATCATTAATGAACCAAGGTAAATTTCATTGAAGCTAATAAGAATTTCAATGTATAGATGTTTAAATCAAAGTATTCAAAGTATTAGTTGTGTATTGAACAAGTTAGAAAGCAATACATCATATCAATTCATCCGATCACATGTTTAGTGATGAGTTTGAAGTGGTAAAGATATATCTAGTCCGAGTTACCATATGAATATGAATACAGTGATGCAGATACATAATTGACGAGTCACAAAGAAAAACTGTTTACAAAAACTCTATGTTTTAAAAAGGAAATATGATAATAAGGTTATATTAAGACAACCTTTGATGACTAAAAATCCCTTGCGGATTCATACCTTAACATAATTCAAACTCTTTTCAATAATGATATTACAATGCAAGAGAACACAAGCAGAGACAACCAAATGTATTTATATTGAAAAATTACAAAATCTCCTATTAAAATTCCCGAACCATACAGTAAATGCTTATTTGATGTTGTTTTCCTTGTTTCTTCCCATTGTTATTTAGGATTGAAATTGATGAGTCTTTTGTGGGTATATATGAATTCTATACGGATTAACTTAACAATAGGTAAAGTCACAAGCTTTATAAGCAATGATGGATAGTAGCTAGCAGTGGAATCCAATTTGAAGCGCATTCCGTTCTATTTGAGACTTGTCAACTGGATTTACTTGCACTCCTGGAATCGAACTCAATACCGTTCGTTTTAAATGCCGTCGCATTATCCACTTAGCTACTGCTTGTGCCATCGGGGTGAAGTTTAAATTCACTTGATGTTGTTTTCCTTGTTTCTTCCCATTGTTATTTAGGACTGCATTTGAACAGTCTCTTGTTGGTATATGTGCATCTTGTGTGGATTGGAACAGTCAAATGTTTTTGAAAACAAATTACAGCAAAAAATCGATCAATCGTTTCAGACTTTATTGTTCTATCAATTCTAAACAAATCATTCTCTGTTCTCATTTTCTTTCCTTTGATCTTCTTAACTTTCTGCCATCAGATATTTCCTTTTCAATCGATGATATATACTACTTATATCTGTCAACATCGGTAACACATACCACAATATGATTAGCATACTGGTTTAACCAATTTATTACCATTTTTAACTCAATATCCCAGTGAATAACAAACTAACTGTTATGGAAGTATGTAGTAGGATTCAATACCACTATGTGTTGGAATGATCTAGAAAACTTCTCACAAAATACAAGAAAGGTTCGGGAAAACAATATGAAGCATTTTATCCAATCAGCGTTCATTAAAACTTTAGCCAGTAATATCAAGAAAGTGAAAAGTTACATGTAGAGTTTCTGATTAACCATTTATCTACACTGCTATTATGTTTAGTAGCATTCTAGAATGTTCAGGAAACCTAAGCACATCCTGTCAACTACCTCCAACCACTTTAGTGGCCCGTGATCTGACTCCAATTTTATCGTAATGATTGGTTGCTATCGTCTATCCTCGTATATAATCATTGACTTAAATCGCGTTAGTTAATAACGGAATTAAATAAGTCAAATAACGAGAATGGAGTTTTGAATGCATATATTTTGTATAATTGTTGATTAGATGAACGAACGGAGGAACGACGCGAAAAGAAGAAAGCGAAGCAAAATTGACGAGCGGTGGAGATGGCTGCTAAGCCAAGAGTTAATCAATATTTATAAGCCCACAAAAATAAATTACAGACATGTGATGAGTAACGGGATAAGAAGTGTGCATACGCCTACGCGCTCATACAAAGACAGTCGAGACATTAATAAGCGAATAATTAACAAGGTCAGAATGTGACTCAAATAGAATGAATAGAATGGGCTGTCCGAAAGTTAGAATAATAAGGTATTTGGGCTTAACATAATGACAGACACTACACCACCATCTAATCTCACAATAGTGCTCGTTGTGTCGAGTCACTAAGACTGGTGACCACATTGCAAGATGGTCGATAGCATTCGATAATTCGCACTAATAAAAAAGAACTAGACACGCATGATATTGATTACCAGTCAGTGATCAATCTATTGTGATAACAACTAAAAATACTATAAAAACCCTATAATTTCTGTAGTAAAACGAACGTTTGGAGTAAAGTGCTTCTCTTATATATTTTGTGACTTTTCTGTCGTATTCAGGTTGTTGTGTAGTTCTCACTTGTTGGGGGGGGGCAGTTATAAGAATAGCTTAGATGCTGAATATAGCGTTCCATATCCAAGACTTATCACTATGAATATCAACATTTAGGTTACATGTTCATTTTATTCATTATACTTGAATATAACAAAATCGATTGATTATTTTGCCAAAATTCAATTAAATTGAAGACAAAAATATTTTCGGTTAAACTATTGGTTTATTTGATCTTCAATATTTTTTTTCTATTTTTCTCTTATCAACTAAACCACCACCCTACCCTACATCACTCCGCCTCACCCCCGCCATTGATTATCCTATTCATATGGATTCATTGTTCTATTTTGTTTTTATTTTGGTTTCCAAAAAAAAAAAATAATAACTTTGTCTCATTTAAAATCTAATCACAGTTTTTTTTTCTTTTTTGTTTTGTTTATTCGTTGGTTTTGATTTATTCAAATGATTCCCAATAGATAATTCAAATAGAAAACCTTAGTAACTAATAAATGGCGGACAATAATTTGATTCGACTGAAAAGTTCTCTCACTCTCGCTCGCTTGCTCGCTTGCTCACTATGTCTATCTTTCCCTTCCTCTTTCTCTTTGTCTCTCCCTCTCCCTCTCTCTCTCTCTCGCGTTCTCTTTGGCTTTGTCTCCATCTCTTCTTCTGTAAGGATAAAAAAGATATACTCCATGAATTATTCTTCTTGAATATCAAGAATTATCCTTTGATTAATAATTGAAAATAGATTAAGTAAATATTATTTAGTAGATCTTCAAATGACTTGATATTGATTTTATACGAATCTCATGAGTATATTATTATGAATAGATTCAATGTTATTACAATCGTTGAATGGATAAATTAATTAAAGTTAGATTATTATAGAAAACCTGGATCCTAAATGTTCTGACGTCCTCACATCAGAACATTTAGAAATCTTGATAACAGCCATCGAGATAACATGGAAACGACACAGAGAACAAAGAAGATGTAGTGTCTGTCATGATGTTAAGCCCAAATACCTCATTATTCTAACTTTCGGACAGCCCATTCTATTCATTCTATTTGAGTCACATTCTGACCTTGTTAATTATTCGCTTATCAATATCTTGATTGTCTTTATATGAGCGCGTAGGCGTATGTACACTTCTTATCCCGTTACTCATCACATGTTTGTAATTTATTTTTGTGTGCTTATAAATATTGATTAAGTCTTTGTTAAAGGAGAGTTGGCTTACCAGCCATCTCCACCGCTCGTCAATTTTGCTTCGCTTTCTCATCTTCGCGTCGTTCCTCCGTTCGTTCGTCTAATCAACAATTATACGAAATATATGCATTCAAAACTCCATTCTCGTTAGTTGACTTATTTAATTCCGTTATTAACTAACGCGATTTAAGTCAATGATTATATACGAGGATAGACGATAGCGACCTATCATTACGATCAAATTGGAGTCAGATCACGGGCCACTAAAAAGAAATACTCTAAAGAAAAAAACAAATCAAGATCTCAAAAGTACTCAAAGAAGAAAACACAAGCAACTGCATGATCAATCTATCAAAATAAGCACTAACAAACACGGAAAAACATCTACTCCGAAAAAGATTAAACTATAACACAAGCAACGCCTCAAAACTGGAATTCTTTGCAGTACTAGAGTCATCACTCAAAACCTGAATCCATCAGATGATAGTTTCGTCTTAATAAA